AATAAATGACCTTGCGTGTTAAACTATGAGGTCTTATTCCAAATTGCTAGAGTTACAGTTTATATCAATGACATGCATCTCACTAAGACTCTGGAAGAGCTTGAGAAAACTGCCTCGCATCTAAAGATGGAAAACTTGTTTATGCCTTGACAGTTCAAGCATTGTTTAGACGGTATTTGGTCTACTAGTTGAGCTACACCCCAAAGGTGTTACCATTGAGTATACTATGATCTTCCATATGCTATATGCAAATGAGACCCTTGAAGAGGTTATGGAATCCGAAGTTCCATATCCAAGTTCAACTTTGTGCTTTCTTGTACTTAGCCCATTGAGTAAGACATGACATCTCATTCACTGTTGATCTATTAGTAAAGATGCAGCACTGCGCCTACATGCAGCCACTAGATTGGTATTAAAGATGTTTTTCCTCTACCTTGAAGGTACTACAGATTTGGCCAAATGGTTATGTCTTTACCTTTAGGGATATCATAATATCTTGGAGGTCCAAGATATGACCTTAATTGCAAAATCTTTGAATCGTTCCAAGACTCGCCACACTTCACGATATATTGTGTCTACATCACATCAACAAAGCATCAACAAACTGAAGTCATGCAAACCGATCCTAGACAACCTTGCCGACCTCTACATGACGTCACTGCAAAAGTCAACCTTCTAGAAGCTTGTCCGAGGAATTGGTATGCCTAACTATTCATGTGCAATGCTTGTAGTTCTCATTTAGAAGTTTTGTCAAACTCAAGGGGAGTATCCAGAAGTGTACACATTTGATCTTAATGTACTCTTTTTCCCTATGATTAAGAGCATTTTTCCCACTAGGTTTTTGCTACCTAACTAGGTTTTGAAGAGGTACCCATCCTGGGTTGGTCATACCCTTGTGAGCTTTTCTACTTGCGTCCAAAAGACGTAAAATTTTGACTTAATGCAACTTCTCACTTTTCTCCTTAGTCTATGGGTTTTTATCCCACCTTGGGTTTTACTACCATAGCGAGGTTTTGTGAGTTTTACCTTTTATGCATTCTTCTGTTGATTTGAGACACGCATTCGCTCATTGTGCCGACGAGTTCATCAATTGTACTTACTACTTCATTGAAGACCTGATGCGTCATTTACTTGAGTATTTACACACTCGAGAGGGAGTGTTGTAGTCTTAGACTAGATATTATTCTATTAGAGTTGTAATCTTATTGGGGTAAGGAATTTACCTTTCTTACTACTATAAATAAAGACACAATGGGGTAAGACAACACACACCTCACAATTACACATCTCTCTCTTTCTCTCTACTGATGTCGCACCCCCTCTCTCTCTCTGTCCTTTGTATTGTTTAGTAAATTAGGTCTACAACAGTTAGATCCATTGTATCAATTGTATTAATAATAGCAATTTATTTAATATCGTTTTTATTTAAAATTCTTTATTTAATTAATAATATAAATATATAAATATCATAATGGGGAAAACCGTTCCCCAATGAAAAATCTATTACCCGACGGGTTTGGTTATAGAGAAAACCCGTTTGGGGATTCTACAGTTTCGAGTGTGGCGAAAATAAACAGGTTCGGGTATGGGGATACATTCGAACCCAATTGAAAAAGTGGCAAACAATCATTTTCAATTTAGCAAATTGGGTCGCTTGATATATTTTAATCATTGTTTACTAAAGAGTTGGAAAAGCAAAAACTTAGCCCTATCAAGATAAGATAAACTTAAAAGTGAAAATAAAATTTGAATAGTTAGTTGAAGAATTGATAATGTTGATTGAGTGACAACCTTTCCTTTTTTTTTTTTTTTTTTTTTTTTTTTTAACAAATGTTATTCTCTACATTAAGAGGGCCAAGATAGTAAGCTATGTCTTATAATAGACTAGTAATAATGTGGTTTAAATTCGTTTTTGGTAAGAATTGAACCTAAGACTTCTTACTTATAAGTGAAGTGGAATACTACTAGGCCGTAATACTAACTGGTAATTAAGTGACAAGCTTTTAAAATAGCATAACAGTATCACATAAGTAAGCAACGAACATTCCCACGTCAGGTATTTACGACCCATGCCATTATCTCATATGGCAGCAATTGGAAGATGACAATCTCTAAAAATCAATAAAAACTGGCCAGTAAAAATTGAATTCAGAATAAAGTTGTCGTTTATATTTGTATAAATAGTTGGAAAATTTAATAATATTATTATTATATTAAATTTATTAATTGAATGGAAATTATAAGTGGAGCCTTTTGGTAGAAAGATGTGTCTACTCAAATGAAGAGTTGCAACTTTTAACTCTTCATGAATAATCACATGCTTTCCAAATAGGTATCTTACATTCTATAGATAGGAAAGCCCCCTATAATCACAAAATAACTTTTCATCATACATACATATAGTGCATTAAATATTAGAAAGTCTCGTTGATTTCATATGAGAGTTTTCAACACAATCGTGGTTCATAGAGCCTTGTGATTTGGCGCTCTACCATTACAAGGACGTGGTCGTTTTATCTTGGGAGACATGCACCAATCAACCATGAGCACCATAGTGGGGCTTAAATTTGTCTTAAGGACAAAATGTCCAACACTTGTCTTAATCGTATTTTCTAGGTTTTTCTAATCCATTATATCATGTTCATTTAACATTGGTTACTCATGTGCATACATTAATTTTGATATATAATTGCATGAATCAATTAGACCCTAATTTTTCCAACATAAATCTTGAAGGAGTTGAAATGCTTTCCTCGTGTTTTGTCAAAGTATGATACCTCCTCCTCAAGTATGAGTGGATGTAAATTTCGTCCAAGGTTGAATTGACAAAGCTTCACTAATAATAAGAAAACCGTTAGTCTAATTGACAAATACTTGAGAAAAAGAGAAAGGACTTCTGATGTACATGTCAGAGAATAGTTTAAGAGAAGGGAGAAAACTATACTTTGCTAGTGTGATGCAGACCATTCTCCGTGGGCAACTACACAAAGTTCCTGAAAGGTCTTTGGTAGTTAATAGTGTCGGCGTAGCGCGGGACACCCAAGGAAGACTCCGAAGAGTCAACTCGTGCCTCCTTGGACCGAAGAAGGCACGGTGGTAGAAGTGTGATATCACATGTTTGAATGACACTGGATATGTGCGTGGTCCCAAAGACCCACAACCTATAGGGCAGGCATTTGAGGTCTGGTGTGGTATGTTCACAATGTCAAGGTAAAACCGTCATACTGAACTAAACATCCACATGTCATTCTTGTACTGAAATGTGGTTATTTTATATATCCACAATATGTAATTCAATTGAGTTTACGTTTATACAAGAGGTTTTTTTTTTCGTTTTTTTTTTCGTTTTTTTTTTTTTTTTTTTTTTTTTTTTTGTGAATTTGTGGATAAACGTTGTATAGCCTGACTTGATGATGATCATCAAATATTTAAAAGTAATGCGAATGATCATTAATATTCCTCTGTGTAACTTGGCTTGAATATTTGAAATTAACAGTTCTTGTCTTTAGTCTTTTTGCTCTTTTTTCCAACCGCTGAAAATTGTATAACTGCCGTTTTGAATTTATTTATTTATTTTTTTTTTATCTTCATACTAGTCATCTCATAGCATGAAATAATGTGACCTTTTACATGAGTAACGTAATATGCAAAATGGAAGCATATGTTGCTAAATCAGAATTCAACATTACACACCTCAAAATTATTAAGAATAAAGGAACATTTTCAGGCTCGTATAAAAGTGCTTTTAAAATGACTAAAATTTTTTTTAGAGAAAATGTTATTGGGTTTCAAAAACATCTTCACCAAAAACACATATGTCGAAATTCCTCTTTTCATATCAGCAACAAAAGTATCAGAACATTGAAGTCAAGCAAATCCGTTCCCATGACAACCTGACCAATCTCTTCATGAAGTCATTGTCAAAGTCATCCAAGGAATAAATTATCTTATTTGAATTATTTGTAGTTCTCATTTTTGAAAGTTTTGCCAAACTCAGGGAGAATATCTAGAATTATATTCACTTGATCTTAACACTCTTTTCCCTTAGCAGCATTTTTCTCACTGGGTTATTGCTACCTAACTAGGTTGAATGAAGCACCCATCTTGGACTGGTCATACCCCTGTGAGGTTTTTCTACTTTTGTCCTGTGCGTGGACGTTTAGTTTTGTCATTATGCATACTTCTCAAGTTTCTCCATAGTCTATGAGTTTTTCTCCCTTAACTTGTTTACCATAGCGAGGTTTTGTGAGTTTTACTACCAATCCATCCTTTTGTTAATTTGAGACTCACATATGCCCGTTGTACCAATGACTTCATCAACTGACCTTACTTCACCGCTGAATACCTACTGCATATTTTGTTTGAGTATTTACACACTCAATGAGGAGTGTTGCAGTCCTAATTACTTTACGAATGTGATTGTGTAAATTATAGGAAATTCTTATGAGATTTTACCATATCTTTTAGACAGTATCCTATTTAAGTTGCAATACATATTGGACAATGAATTTACCTTCCCTACTACTATGAATTGAAGCACAATGGGGTGAAATGATACATACCTTAGAATTCACCAAATTCTCTCTATCGTGCTTGTCGCGCCTCTCTCTCTCTCCCACTCTATAATTATTCAGTTAAATATGCCTACAACAATTTCATATTAATTAGTGGATCATTGAAGGTTAATTTGTGACAATAATGGCAAACCAATTGACTAAAAAAAAAAATCAAACACAAGGTCTGTCGCCGCATTGCTCTAACTGTATATGGATTAGCAAGCAATTACCAAGTCTTCGCATATTCCAAAACTCCCGCATTGTACTCTTATGCCACATGTGATATGCTTATAACCCTAATTTGGAAATCTGTTAATCAATCAAATCACAGCTTAATTAAGTTAACCTTCACATTTGCTTAAACTGAATCACCATTAGGTGTTTGGAATTGTATACTGAAACAAATCTTCACTTCTTTCGAGTTCATCCCAATCGAATTAAAAGATGGAGGGCAAAAAGTTTGCTATGGTGTTGCAGATTATTAATCTTCTTGGCTTCATTTTCGTGTTTGATCCGTCACTAGTAGCTGCAGATGAGGAGCAAAATGGCATGCAAACTTATATTGTTTGGGTAGAAAAGCCGCGGGTTTCTCTGGAACCTTCTGCACTGTCTCATGAAGACTTGGAGAGGTGGTATCGGTCATTTTTGCCAGAAAATATGATTGAAAGCTCGAAGCAGACGCGAATTTTCCATGCATACCACAATGTGGCAACTGGATTTGCAGCAAAGCTGACAGCAGAGGAAGTGAAAGCAATGGAAAAGAAACAAGGGTTTGTTTCTGCTCATCTGGAGGCTATTCTGCCTTTGCACACAACTCATAGTCTCAACTTCTTGGGTTTGCAGCACGGATCGGGATTTTGGAAAGGAGCAAATTATGGTAAAGGTGTGATCATTGGAGTTTTGGATACCGGGATTTCACCCGATCATCCCTCATTTAGTGACAAAGGAGTGCCTCCTCCTCCAGCTAAATGGAAAGGCAAATGTGAGTTTGATGGGGCAATATGTAATAACAAACTTATTGGTGCAAGAAGTTTTGTAGACGGGCAACCTGCAGGAGGTCCTCCATTTGACAGAGAAGGCCACGGGACACACACAGCCAGCACAGCTGGTGGAAATTTTGTGAAACACGCCGCAGTGTTTGAAATGGCCAAAGGCACAGCTGTTGGCATGGCGCCGTATGCTCATTTGGCAATCTACAAAGTATGCTCAATTTTGGGTTGCTTCGAGGGTGACATTTTGGCTGCCTTTGATGCTGCTGTTGATGATGGCGTGGATGTGATCTCGCTTTCAGTTGGGGGTCCATCTGGTCCTTTTTATACAGATGGGATTGCAATTGGCGCATTCGGAGCAATGCAAAAGGGAATTTTTGTGAGCTGCTCTGCCGGAAACTCTGGTCCTTCCTATTCTAGTTTATCAAATGTGGCCCCATGGATTCTCACCGTTGGCGCCAGCACTATTGACAGAAGCATAAGAGTAACGACACGTCTTGGGAATAAGAAGGCATACAATGGGGAATCTCTCTTCCAGCCTAAGAATTTTAGCTCAAATTCAAAATTAATGTTACCCCTTGTGTATGCAAGCACAATTGGCAACACTTCTTCCCCCTCTTGCGAACATGGTACGCTTGAAAATGTTCGAGGGAAAATAGTGCTGTGCGAGAGAGGCGGAATGAGCGGAAGAGTCGACAAGGGGGCAGAAGTGAAAAGAGCTGGTGGTGCTGCCATGATTCTCATGAACCAAGAGATTGATGGCTATAGCACATCAGCTGACCCTCATGTGCTTCCCGCAACACATGTGAGTTATGCCGCGGGGTTGAAAATTAAGTCTTATATAAAATCATCCTCCAAACCAACAGCCACAATTTTACTCAAAGGCACTGTTATTGGAGATTCGCAAGCTCCCAGTGTCGCTTCGTTTTCATCAAGAGGACCAAGCATTCCAAGTCCTGGGATTTTGAAACCGGACATCATTGGTCCTGGTGTTAGCATCCTAGCAGCATGGCCTGTTCCAGTGGACAAAGCCATAAAGTCTAAAGCAACGTTCAACATAATTTCGGGTACTTCAATGTCATGCCCTCACCTAAGTGGCATTGCAGCTCTGCTCAAGAGTTTCCATCCCGACTGGTCTCCAGCTGCAATTAAATCAGCAATCATGACAACCGCAGATGTACATAACCTCGGAGGTAAATCCATAATTGATCAAACACTTAGGCCAGCAGACATTTTTGCAATAGGTGCAGGCCATGTTAACCCTACAAAAGCAAATGACCCCGGGCTCATATACGACACACAACCGAATGATTATATCCGTTACTTGTGCGGTTTGAAATACACAGAGAAACAGATACAAATCATCACCCAACAAAAAGTAAAATGCTCAAAAGTAGGATCAATATCAGAAGCACAGCTAAATTACCCTACTTTTTCTCTCATAGTAGGTTCCAATAACAAGACTTGGTCTCAGCTTTACACAAGGACAGTGAAGAATGTCGGGCCGGCTAATTCTACTTACAAGCTAGAAATTTTAGCACCACAAAAGATGAATGTGGATGTGAGTCCACCGGAGCTTAGATTCCTGAAAGCCAACCAGATCATTACGTACCGTGTGAAGTTCACGGCACAAACGGGTGCAGGGAAGGAAGGTGTATCATTTGGTCAAGGATATTTGAGATGGGTTTCTGATAAGTATAAGGTGACTAGCCCTATTGCTGTGCTCTTTTGAGACTTGAGGAAAATTAAATCTTGCCTTGGTCTGGGTAGAATAAGAATCCTTTTTCGAGATATACAAAGTATGAGATTTCACTAAGTTGATTCTTAGGAAATCTTGAATCAGACCATTTGCACTTACTTCAATAAAGGAAGAGAGGGCCTCGGCGATAGAAGAATTTTTTTTATCTTGGTCAGAGTTTAATAGTAAACAGGTCCGAGCTAATTGAATAATTGTGCTAGAAATTTTCTGAATTGGTTTACCAGTATTAGATTTTGCATGAAATTACTATTATTGCTTTCGTTTCACCACATGGTATTGGACTTATAATTAGCTTACTTGCAGTGTTAGTCGTTTTGGCGTCAAGAACTTGTAGTTTTAATTTTGTTTTTAACGAACACTCTTCTGTGGCTGGTGACTAGAGAAAGCTCTGTATTTGTACGCTATTAAGATGTATTCTATTGGGTTTTGCAACGGTGCTTGATTTATCCAAATCTGCTATGGGCGCGTTTGTTTGGCTGGATTAAGTTTTACTGGACTGGACTACTTAGCTAGGATTAGTAGTCTAGTGTTTGGTGTGAATTAGGATTGTGTTTAATGGGATTAAGCCGGACTCGTGCCGACTAAATCCTGCGCTAGGTGGGCTTAGCGAGAGCCACCAAAAACGAGGGGATTCGTAGTCCCGTTTCTGTTCTTCGCTTCACCTCCCTTTTTGTTCTTCGCCTCAGGCTTCACCTCGTGTTGCTTGCTTCGCTTCTCTCCTCCTCCCTCTTCTGCTTTTCTCAATCTCAGAGGATCTCCAAGTTTGCAATATTGGGTTTGACAGAAACAGATCCAAGAAATCCAAGCCATCACCGTCTCTCACTTCCCTGACTCCACAAACCCCGACTCGTCGCCGGTCAACTCGCCAGGCATCACTGTAGGCCGGTTCCGCCACTCTACAGACTTGCGGCTCTAATTGAATCCACAGACTTGGAAAGCTCTCTCCAGTTCGAATCTTGCATCGAACAAAAACCTGAAAAATAGAGGAGGGAAGGAGAGCGTGGGACGGAGAGAAAACCTTGGGACGGAGAGAATGAGAGTGTGGGATAGAGAGAACAAAGGAGATAGAGAGGAAGAAAAAGATGCAGGCTTCCAGAGAGAAAGAGAGTATTATTAGAATAAAAAAAGCTAGAATTAATTAATATAATATTATTAGATATGAATTAAAAAATATAATATTATAATTTGTTATTATCCTTCTTTTTAGTCCGACACTGCATCAAACGCTTCACTAAACTAGTCCAGTTTAGTCTAGTCTAAGTCAGTCTAGCTTAGTCCCTGCAGCTAATCCAGTCCGAGACAGTCCGGTACAACAAACGCCCCCTATATGTTTAGCGAACCGAGTCTTTTGTGGCTAGTGGCTAGAAGAGACCCTTGTATTTTGTACCTTTTTTGACTAAAATATTAGTGGTTTTTGTAATAAAATTGTTGTTTATATTCCAAAAATCTTATTTTGCACTCTAAATTTTTTATAATTAGAAAGAAAAATAGACTTACAAAGAATGTAGAATGAAAATTTTAAAGTACTTATAACAGTTCCCTTTCGTAATATTTGACTTGCAAATATACATATCAGATAAAAATAATGAGATAGAACCTTTTCTTTTGGGTATAAGTTGACTCGATACAAGTCAATAAGAATGCAAAAGCACATTCTACATTGAAGAAGTAAAACAATAATCACAGAAGTACATTGGCAATTTGGCACAACTCTTAGTTGGTAGAACAAACCAAGTTTTTAACTACAATTAAGCAATTGAATTATGCATGTAAAATTCAAGCCATGATAGTAACGCATGTGATATGAAGCAAAAATTAAAACAAACATAATAGAAAATGTTGTAAACTTCTATATCCTAGTAACAAGTAAGCACACCGTGAGCTAGAACCGCCCAACATCTCTAGGATTAGGATGTCTAAAATTTAAAGATGAGTTTCCGGGGTGGCCTTTACGTCTTGTTTCCACATCTTGATTGTCTTGTCAGCTTCACAAGTAACCAGCCTTGTGCCAGTGACATCGTAGCAAAGAGCATCAATCCCACCTTCATTCTCCAGCGAGCCCGGTTGTGCAATTGTTTGGGATTGCTGGAAGTTGTGGCCGCTCTTCCAATCCCAAAACCACATGCTACCATTGTCGCCTCCCGTAGCCATAACTCCATCTTCATTGACGGCCATCGCATTGATAATGGACTTCTGTTGGGAGAGCATGTTGTGCAAAAACTCACCCCTCGGAAGGTTGAACTTTTTGATGGTGTTTGTTGAAGCCGATGCGAAGCAATTACCCCGATCTAGCTTAGGAAGATGTGTCAGTGCCCGCACCGATTTCTTATGATGCGTTAAAGTAGAAAAGGGTTTTCCCCTTCTAAGGTCCCAAAGCTTGATCGTCGTATCGTGAGACCCGCTAATAACTTGTGGATCCGTTGGGCGGGTGAGAAGGGAGGACACCGTATCTTCGTGTCCAGTCAAGACATGAACTTGCACATTCTTGAGACGAATATCCCAAACACGGCATAAACTATCCCGTCCGCCAGTGACTAAAACATCTAGAGTCGGATGGAGAGCCATGCTGTAGACGGCACTAAGATGACCGTGGTACGAACGGATAACCTTGTTCTGTTCAAGGTCCCAGCATTTGACTTGTTTATCATCGCCACCCGAGAACAAATAGGGTTGCCTGGTGCTAACGGCAAGGCTTCTTATTTGCCCAACGTGTCCTGTAAGAGAAAGTTGTAGCGTCCCGCTTGCTAAGTCCCATATTTTGATTGTCCGGTCTGCAGATCCTGTACAGAACCATCTGTTGCTTGGATCAAAAGCAACAGAGCGAACCCGTCCTAGGTGGCTGCTGATGACCCTGTAAATCTTCCATGGGCTATGCCAAACGGGACGCGGCCAATTTCGGGTTATATCCAGCATTGTTGTTGGACAGCTCTGATAGCAGAAACGGGACGAACCAGGAGCAGAAAAAGCCGAAGTGCTGTCAGTAATATTAATCGGCGCCTTGGCCTTGGGGGGTGCAGATGGACTCAAAAACAAATCAGCGTTTTGAGATCCTTGGGTGCTTGAATGTCTCCTAGCAGTAGGCAGGGAAGGATTTGGAAATCAACTTTTCAAGTGACGACTCCATTGGCTCCTCCTTGCTTTTAACAAAGTTGATCAACTACTCTTTATACAATCGGTATATATAAATTCAACTGGGAAACAAACCGTAATTCTACTCGGAATTGGAATATAAAATAGTTTCCTGCAAGTAGTAGGATTCCTTCATAAACCTAATTCATAGTGGGAAAGTAAACAGAACCCTAATTAATGACGGGGGAAAGGAATTAACATTTGTATTAGGAAATCTACTATCTAGGGTTAATTAACATGTTGGAGCTTCGGTGGACTTTACACTGTTGATATACTTGCTGAGCTTCCTATGTATGTGCCATTTGTTCATTATTACGGAACCGTGAACAACCTTTATGTAAATAGTTACTGAAATTTGATGAGATATATCACAATGATGACTGATCAGATCTATCTTTTCTGGAACGAAAGATATACAACTTGCCAAGTATGCATGGTGGCCATCCATTCTAGGCCGTCAATTATACGTAATACATCAAGTTTGGATGGCAATTTTTCATTGTGACAGTCACGACATGGCATAATATTATTTAATAATCAAGTGATAACATGTGTGTTTTTATTATCAAAATTACACCTTAAATCCACAGCGCATCAGTCATCACCAACAAGGGTGCATCTACATATGAACCAAGGATGTGGTCGTTGTATCCTGGAAGACAAACGCCAATCAACTATAAGCACCGTAGTGGGGCGTAAACTTGTCTTAAGGATAGACTGTCCAACACTCACCTCGACAATATTTTCTAGGTTTTTTTTAATCTATTATGTCATGTTCATTTAACATTTGATTGATCATGTGCATGTATTACTTTGATACATAATTGCATGAATTATTTATTGATTCTATATGTGATTTAATATAGCAATTAGACTCTATTTTTCTAACAATCTTAGGAAAAGTTTATTGGTTTGATTGCTCTGTTTGTTTTGAGAATAATATGCTCACGTGACAAAGTAATTAGGTTGATCCTAATGGCATGATCTTTCTATCAGATTTATTCTATTATGTTTTTGTCGCTATAGATTAATTTTGTGGTATAATAGTCTGGTATATATGTAGTATTGGTTTACTGCAAAACTGTTCGTTTATATTCTTGCCTAGTTGGTTATTACTTCTTTGCCATGCATTAAGTTTCAATTTGTAATGTAAGTAGGAGTGTCTTGTGTACGACTAACCCTTATATAATATATTGACGGCTTTCAAATGATGATCGATCGAGTGTTTGACAAATTAACTAATAGATTTCCAAGTGGTTGACATGCCAATTAGAAAACAATTGTAAACAACAGAGAGTGTTGCAGAGATTTACAGAGAGCAGAGAAAGAAGATTTAGTGAAATAGAGAAAAAGCATGTAAAGCAAGAGAAGAGAATCTGTATATTTTTTGTATTGTAAACTTACATAAAGAATGTTATTACATGAGATATATATATATCTCTTACAATTGCTTAACAACTAAGCTAACAACCTTAACATAACCACCCAACTAATCTTGCGCCAAATGGCGTATTATAGAACTACTGATTCATTACAGTTATGTTGTTATCATACCCCCTCAAGCTTAGGTGACAGTCCCTTTGTCAAGATATGACACACCCCAACAGGAATTGAGACATGTTGGCCGTCATGTGCGGGTGACGTATCCATGAGCGCAATGGAAGTCATAGCGATATGAAAATGTGAGTAATTAAAAACCTAAACTAACTAATTTACACTAACATAACCATAAAAGAATGCAGAGATGTTTAAAGTGTTGACAATATCCAAAGGTTGTTAGGGTTGTTACCAAAATTAGTTAGTTAAATAGCTTAGGCTGCAAATTAGTCATGATGGCTATATAAACTGTATTCTCATAGTTGTAAAAATTAATTCAGTATCAATGTAATCAATTACTTTCTCTCTCTCTCTCTTATTCTCTTTCTGCATTTCTGTGCTTCTCTACACTACTGTTAATATGGTATTAGAGCCACCAAGGCTCACGCCATGGCTCTTGGTGGTCGATTCCTCTTCTATCTTTCTTCATTACTTTCTTTCGTTTCTGTGTATTTCCTTAT